TTCTGTTGTCTGCTGCCAAGCAGCTGGTATACAAAACACTAAGAGTGATGCAGTAAACCAGTGCACTTTCAATAGATAAGTGGTAGATCATCAACTCCATTTGTAAATTATTTTCTTCTGAGAATTCTTAGTAAATAGTAGGTACCAATTATGGATACTTTTTTTTTCCTGAATTGAAAGCAAAAAAAAAAAAAAAAAAAAAAAAAAAAAAAAAGAAGAAAGAAATCAACCCAATTTTAAAATATTTTCTAAAAATCAATGAATTTATCTGATTTAAATGAGATTTTCAGAAGTTATTGATTAGTGAATTAATTTTTTTTATTCAATAGGTTATTTTATTAAAAATCTTTGGGGAAATATTTAATGGGGAGGTATGTTTCCTTTTCAATATCACGAGTGCACTTATTAATTTGGAGAGTGTTTGTCCATTTTTTTTTTTTTTTAAGTTATAAAGAAGAAAAATCCCTGAAGATATTTCCAGTGTAAAAACTATCCAATCTGAAGTGTGTGCATACAGAAAATGTCATGTATATCACCAAAAATAATTCAATAAAACTCAATCATTTTTTTTTTTTTAGAATTTGTGCCTGCATAATTTAATAATAAAAAAAAATCCCATTATTTTCCTTCAGATTAGAGGGGAAAAAAATCTACACTTAATTAATATTTATTTAAGAAACAAATTCTTGAAATTTATTTACTGTGATTTTGAAATTAATCCGTTGCTGTTTTGTCACAAGAGTTTTTTATTGAATAAAGAGATGTTTGAAGATCTAAACTGTTAGATTATTTTTGGTATGAATGTACAAAAAGGACATAATTATATCTCGCTTTGACTGACTTTTCTGACTACTATTCAATATCGGAAGAGTAATTTCATATCTCCTTTCAATCAGTTTTTGTCTTGAAAGTACTGTTTTCCGATCCATTAGTACAATTTTTTTTCGCGAGTCTGTTTTCCTGTATTTAATTTTTCGTTTAAAAATTTTTATTATTTTAAAAAACAAATCTTTGCCTGTTCCTGCATAATTTGTTCCCTTGCTACCAAGAAAATTTTCAGAATTACAACAAAACTATTTCATTTGTATAAAATAATACTTTTCCGTAATTTTTCTAAAATTTACTTTGATTAATGTAATTGTAAATAAGAAAAACATTTCTAACGCAAACCATAATTTTGTTTTTGATAGTGCCTTAAATAAATGCCTTTTAAAATTGATTCATTGTACAAAGTTTAATAAAATAATATTCTTAAATTATTGGTTATACAAGTTTAAAGAAAATTTATTTTTAAATATAAATAACAAATTCTTGATTATTGCGCCGTTAGTCTTCCGTATTTTTAAAAGGTTTTATTTTTACCTTTTGTCCGCTTTTCAGGACAAGGGGGGGGGATTACAATTTTTTTCTCTCCCTCGTCCTTTGACCTCAAAGACTGTCGTTACCGTGCGTAAATAAAACGTTATTTTCTTTCTGTTTAAATTAAAAGATAAGCATTATTTTTAAAAATTCCAGTTAATCAAGTCTTGAATTTACTAAGAGACTTTGAAACAAATCTCTGGAACAAATATTGGATTTTAAAGAGATTTTTTAATTTTGTTTACAATACATTTTTTGTCTCAATGGCTGTTTTAGTTGAGTGACGAAAAAACGTGCCAAGGTTTTAAAAAGGACTAAAAAAACTTTATTTATATACGGAAATTAATTTAATTTTTCTTTGAATTAGCTTTTTAGGTAATATCTTTTAAAGAGAAGTGAAATCCAAATTGAAAGACATTTATATTTTAAAAATTATTTAAAATGCTTCTTTCGTTTTGTTTTTGTTTTAGAATGTCCGTGATGGTAACTAGTCTCTAGTAAAATAAAAAGTAGTAGTAGAGTCTCTGCTGCGCCTTCTCGACTAAACGCGAAGTCAAAACGTCACAGAAAGGGAAAATTTCAAAATACATTTCAATTTAGAGAAGTATTTATTGTTAAAAAAAATACTCGTAGGATGAAACAATGACAGGTGAATTTTCATTTTTCAGGTATTTTCCACGTATTTTTAATAATTTTTTGTAATTCAAATTTGTTTACTTTATTTAATTTTTCGGCAATTGATATAAAATAAAATAGTTATAAATAAATTTAGTGTCATTAAAAAAATATTAAAAAACATGTTTGTTTTAAAATTTAAAAATACAAAGAAAATTTCGATTTTAAAATGTTCTATCCAGTGTTCCAAGGGAAATAATTCCTTTTGCCATCAAGGGAGATAAACCTCATAAGTTCCAACATCATTTCTAATCTAATAATTATATTAAAATATGGTTTATTTTATAATTACAGATTTTCATTTTGTTTTTAAAGATTCTGATTTCTGTTATATTTAGGTGACATGGAATCATTGATGATCTGAAAATGAAACTTAAATTTTCAGAAGAGCATCATTCCTTGATTATATTGAAGAAGAAAACTGCCATCCTGGGTATGATGATAAACTACATCCATAAGAAAGGCCACCAATCGTGAGGTTTTGAAGAGTCCCTGCTATGGGAAAATAATTAATCCCTAAACTGGGGTCAAAACACTACAAAAGTATAAAAATAGATTCTTATTGTAAAAATACCAGCAATCCATTTTGAAAAAAAAAAAAAAAAAAAAAAAGAAAAGAAAAAAGCAATACATTTGACTCAACAAAAACCTATGTCAATGAAATCTGATCTACAAACTGTTTTTTTTTGTTTTTTTTACAAAGAATACATATTCTAGTCATACAAATATATCCTAAAAATGCTGTTGGCATTAAATAACCTATCTAGGTTGATATACTGTAAAACAAAATAAGCCAAACCAGAAAACTGCCATCCCAGTACCCTCATAATAAAAAGTCGCAGAGGAATCTGTCAGATCACCAAAAAGTTAAGAAAGAAGAAAAGAACTGGTAAACCAAATTATAAACAGGAAACCAAGGGACAAACCTCTACTCCTGCTCAATAAACATGGAAGACGATAGGTGAATGAACCTACTCATATTAACCTGTTCACAGCATAGGAGGTTGGGCACTTTTATTGAGACATCATCTCTAGGAAGGTTGCCAAATAAGGCTCTAGACTGCCACCAGTTCAAGCGAGATTAATAAATTATTAAAACCTTGCTGGTTATCCCAAGAGTTGAAATCAAAGGGGTTTTAACAAAATTAGATCACTAAATTGAGTTAAAATTGATCAAAATTTAAAGTTATATATATATATATATATATATATATATATATACACACACACACACACACACTATTGATTTGATTTGATTTAGTTGCTCCATTTCAAGACAGGGAAAAACATGAAGCCAAGAAAGTGCAGTGTGTTACTCACCTGGAGTTTAGCATCAGCCATACTAATGGCAGGTAGAAAAGGTGTTCTAGTGATTGATGAATGTATTTGAGTGTGACTTGGCTGTGTAGGTGTGTTTGTGTGTGAAGCGTCCACAGACCTTTTTGGTTCAGTGTGAAATGTTCATGTCACACCCCTTGAAAGGAGGAAAAGCGGGAAGAGAGAGTAACTTAAGGGTTCACTTTGTTCTTATACTTTCCAGGCTGTTGCTGCTACTAAGCTTATGAAGGCAAAATATTTTCCTTGGAAATAGTGAATATAGTAGAGATAAGCTTTGATGGAAACAGCTGTAGGGTTGAAAATAATCCATTACCCACAAGGCCACATAAATGCTTTTGAACTCTCTTAAGGCTGGAAAGAATGGCTTGGTCACCCCCAGCTCAGATATGACATCCGTAGTTTTGGTCTGATGTCTTTGCCTAACTTTTTCTCTTGAACCTGTCATTTTTTTTAATCATAATATTCCCCACGTCAATTCTCTGGCACAACCCTGCTTAATTTTAGCATTGACACCTGTAAGTAGTTTGAATTGTAAATTCTTCCTTTTCTCTTCCTATGCTAATTACTCCTACCAATTCCAGTTGTCAAAGACAGGTTTATTGCTTTCTCCAGCTGGATTGCAGTCAGCCCATTTACCAATGTAGTTAACACATCTTCTTTTGTTGGCATTGAAATGGGATATAATGTGTAAGGCCAAGAAATAATAGATTTTAGTCAACCTTGATCGAGATCAATAGTAACCTATCCATTAAGCTCACCAGAAATTAGTGGCAAGCCAAAATAACAATAAAGCTAAATATTGAACATTCTTGTTGGGTGATTGTCTAACAAAAATATAACTGCAATGGCTCATGTTCATTTTTACCCAATTTACCCATTTAACCATAAGTCAGAATGCCCCCCTCCACTTTCCAAGATTGTTGGACTCAAAAGGTGCATTCCAAATAATATTGAAAATAATATACATTTACATGGATTATATTGATTGATCGATTGATTTGTTTTCCATGCCTTATCAATCCTTTGTAGGTTTTTAAAACCAGAAAATATTTTTAGATTGTAAGATTTTTTATTTTTTGGTGGGGGAGATAATGATTTAGAAATACAAGTCCTACTAATTAAGCCATAGCTGGGGTGAGAAGAGGTGGGTTTGATGAATTAGTAGCCATGGTCAAATGCAAAATAAATAACAGAGCTGCCCAACAAAGAGAATTAACAAAGTTTGCAATAAAAAGAAAGAGGACAAAAATGAAATAATATCAAGCAAGCAATCTATGCAAAGCAATTTTACAAGTAAGGCGGCAAAAAGTTTACAAACTATAAATTGGTGTCTATACACAAAAGCAAGATCAGACAAGCAAATGCAGTCGGCTGTCTTCTAGACAAGGCAGATCTAGACTGAGTCATGTCAAACTGTAAACCAGCCTATTTTATTGCCTAAGAATAACGTCACAGCATGCATTTGTGGACTTCTACCTATAAAGGGGAGGGGGAAATGTTTTGCAGCATTAATTGAAATCAACAGGATTCATACCTTTCCCAAGGGTATTTGCACACAAGTGAATATAACGAACCCGACTACTTTTTGATTAACAACTCCGAGCCATTATCCATTACACCATCCACGCTAACAGCACCTGGTATTCTCAAGCAGTTACTCATCTAGTTACTGACCAGGCTCGATATTGCTTAACTTCGGTGATTGCATGGGAACTGGGGTTTCAACATGATATGATTGTATGTCTTGTATTTATAGCAGAGTTTTACAAATTTAATAGCAATAGCAATCAAATAAATAAACTGAAGCATGTTTCAATAAACAAAATGTTCACTAGAATGCCAGAGTTTTGTAATTCAATAAACAAAATTCTGTAAATAAAAAAACAAGAAAAAGTACAAAGATTTTTCCCTCCCCATCCAAAACCGAGAATGCCCCCTGGTTGAGAACCCCTGCTGTAGGCAATGTGTCATTGTTGGTGAGTAGACACTGTCTATAGCTGACAAAGATTTGAACATTAATACATACACACCTGTAACTGGACCAACTAATGAGAGAACTGAACAACATATCACCTGATGTAGAAGGTAAGACTTGGAGACTTGGTGAAAATAGTTAATGCTTACTGTTAATTACAAAAATAAAAAAAAAACAGCTCAGGTGTGTCTTATGTATTTTTATAAGAACCTGAAAATGGCCAATACACCTGTGTGATTTTTACCTTACTAATGATCCTAACTTCATTGAAAGCCTTATTTAGCAAAATGAAATTTGAAGATGATCTGATTTTAAAATTATTAAACTAAAAAGATACAAACCTAATATTTTGGATTTATTGATAATTTCGTTCAAAGAATACCTGTAAATTTTCACAGATTTTTCTGAATGCATCACCTATGACCAGTGGTTGATTTGAGATGGACTCCAATCCCTGTTGCAGATGCCTTCTCAGGCACATTTGTATTTGTTCAATACCCACATATATGGTTTATAGTCCAACTATGCTGAGCAGACCTTAGTTACAGTTTCTAGGAGAGAGCATGTAATCTGGTGTGATCAACAGTTTGCACAAGGCTAGCATGCTCAAACCCTCGGTCACGATGACTTGTGACTTTATGATAGCAAAATCATTGACTGTATCTGAACAGTTTCATTTACCCAATTTCACTCACAAGGTTTTGGTTAAACTGTCTTATAGTTTTCAGGTTGGGATCACCTCCTCAGGCCAATAACATCAAAAAGTTACTTCCCTGACAAATTGACAAGGGTGAGATTCAAACCTGTGTGAGAATTGGTCAGAAGCACACACACTATATACAAGTCCAATGGGCAAAACAGTGGTACACAGTCTAACAGGCAAATCAATTCCACAAATGCTATCACCGTTCCCCAATCACAGGTAAGCAACTCCTCTTGCCAAAAACAAATGAGTGTACTGTGCTTTTATGCACCTGAACTAGTCATCACCCAGAACCAGCCAATAAAAATGGCTACAAGCAGCAACACCATTTCCGTCCATATGAAGTGCTACCCAAGTTACCTTCAGTCCGAAGCTCACCAATTTGGCGTCTCGACACTCCCTTGCAAAGCATACACACAACTCTAGCCCTTTTGAGTCACTGAAGTCTCCGCTACAGGAATACAGAATATAAAAATGAACCATAAAGAGAAAATAGAATAATGCCATGCAAGATAGAATGAGAAAATAAATGAAGTCAAAAGAAATTTTATAAAATGATGGACAAAAGGAAAAAACTAAAATAAAATCTATATGCAAGTCAAATGGGCAAAACAGCGATACACAATCCAATAGGCAAATCAACTCCACAAAATGCCGACAATTTCTGTTCCTCAAGTAAGCAGCTCCTCTCACCAAAAAAGAGTCTCCTGTTTGAATGAGCGTACCATGCTTTTATGCACCTGACCAGCCATCGCCCAGAACCAGCCAATAAAAAAATGGCTACAAGCAACACCACCACTTACATCCACATGAAGTGCTGCCCGATTCACCTTCAGTCCGAAGCTCACCAATTTGCTGTCTCCACACTCCATTACACGTGACTCTGGCCGTTTTGGGTCACCACGGTAAGTCTCCGCTACAAAACCCAAGTTTTATGCTTAGAAAGCAAACAAATACTTAGATGTATCCTTTAAGCTGTGGAGGATTTTTAATGCTTTTATTACTATTTGTGAAAACTACTGTTATGCTTGTACTATAGCTGTTACTTTGAAGGGTTTTATCTAATACTGATCATCTCTTGTTGGCATATGTCTGGATTGCCACCATTTATTAGTTTGGCCCCAATGTTGTAAGCACTGGACAACTCCTTTCTTAGTACTATATGGATGGTGGAAGCTGAAGCTTAGGTATTGTCCAATGAATATTGGCTTACAATAGATGGATGTCTTGAAATCATGCTCTGTATGAGTTATTAGATACTGACAAACCCCCTCAGTAGACCTAGCATAGAGATGAGTACCATCTGGGAACCTCTGATTAGGAAAAAAGGACACTCAGTAAAAATTCCACTGACTCTTGATACTCATACAATCCCTACTTCTTGACTATAAACATTAAGTTTAAAACTGCAGAATTTAAACACTAGATTGTCCAAAAGATATGTTAGTCCCAATCCTGGTGGGAATGACTGCAAAATGCATTTCAGCTCCTCAATTTATAGGCACACAAATGCATGCTGGGATTTCTTCCTAGCCAATATGATAGTCCCGGTCTGTCTTGTGTTGAAGTCTGAATGCTGCTTTTGTTCGTCCGAATTTGATTTTATGTGTTAACCCCAATTCTTAGTTTGTGAACTTTTTGCCATATTACTGTTAATTTGCCTTGCATATATTATCTGCTTGCTTTATATAATTTTTTACCCTGTTCTTTTCTTTTTCTTGTTATTGCTTTGTCAATTCTTTATGTTGGGCAGTTCTACTATTTATTTACATTTAACCATGGTTACTCACTCTACAAGATATATGGCTTAGTGGTTAAAACATATTGTTTTCTCAGGCAGTTGTGAATTCAGTATTTGGGTTCAGCTGAAAAGCCATAAACTCTGGTTAAGTGGAAGAAAGAAAAAAGCAATACAAAAGTGAATAAGTCAAGATGAATATTAGCCAATATGAGTTATGTCCCTTAAACTTCCTTGGGGCATAAATAAAGGGTTTAGTTTGAAAATCCCAAAAAGTTACTGAGTACAAAAAAAAGTAAAACACCTGAAGAAAGCTGAATAATGGCTGAAACGTGCGTATAATAATCAAGATAAAATTATTAGAAAAAGAAGAATTGGTGATGATTGAGTTTGAAAATATTTTTCCAGTTAAGAAATGTAATTATAAAAAAAAAATACAAAAGAATTTGAATGCCTGCTAGTGATTTACTAAGCATAATTTAGTTGTGGCACAAGGCCAAGATTATTAGGATTGAACTCGCTATTCAGTCATAATTGATCTAGTGAGACAAGTTTGCTACCCATTGCATCACGTCGAGGAACAATATATTGAAAATTTACAAAAATTTAATAAAACAATGTTTATTGCATTAATAACTAAATTTATTTATTACAAAAAAATTAAAAAAAAAAAAAAAAAAAAAAAGTAAGAGGAAATATTTTCTTTATTGTACCCCCCCAACACCTCAAATGAAATCTCAATTAACATTTTCAAATATAATTCCCTGGAATAGGATCAATATATTAAATATTTTCTGTACATAATAATGCTAGTATTGCATGCATCACAATTGCATAATATTATTTGTGCACCATAATTCATTAGCCTTTTGGGAAAGTATGGGAAGCAGTACACACAATAAAAGTAATTTGCTACGTAGATATGGACAAACATGTAAATATAATATTTTCACTTAAGATTTTGTTTAACATTAATTCAAATAATTGGGAACATAATGCAGTGCATGCAGTTTTGCTCCAAATTTCATATTTGTCTATTTTTGAGATGAGGTATTGTAACTATTTACACTATTTACATTGGTTGAACTGTTGTCCTCATCTTTATTGTCATATTCACAACAGCCATTGTATATGACAGCTTTCTTTAGGATCTGTCTATATTTCTGAGATTGTTCAGGTTGTTGTTCCCAAGGACACATGGCCCAGTGAGTAAAACCTTTGGTTGAAGTAATCCAAAAACTGACTTGACCCAAAGAATTGTGAGTTCAATACCAGGCCACAAAAAAACCACAAAAACAAACTTGGAGAGTTGAGCTACTAAAGGGAATTTACTGAAACTGAGATATCCTGAGAAAAGGCATGGCACATGGAACTAGAACAGTCCACCCCAGTGGACTATAAATAAAGAGTTTGGTTTGAAATTCCAACATATATCACCTGAAGAAGGTCATATTGTATAACAACTGAAACATCATGAATATTTATAATAAAGATGAGGACAACAGTTCGAATAGTGTAAATAGTCCAAATTCCATGTTCATTTGTCATTTTGAATGAAGCCCATGTTAAAAATGAAAAAAAAAAAAAAGAGCCATGGAGTAAATGACATCTGTAGGATGAAACTGAACTTTTGCCATTGATTCTAAGAGTTATTTGTGTTGCTTATGCTACTGCTACAATGTTTCAAGCAATTTATTCTGCAGCCTTTGTCAGGAACCCCCCTATCCCACAGATAAAAAGTTGCAAGCCTCTCACTACTCTATTGCTATTTCCATATCAAATGTTCTGAGAAGCTATACATCCTTTAGTTCCACCATTTCTGGCCTCCTCAGATAAAACCAGCCATATGCCATTTTCACTGGAATGAACCAATCACCATTCCTTTTGTATTTCATTAGTAAGAAGGAAATTCCAGTTGGATAAATTCTTCCCAAGAACCACTTCTTCATGAAAAACTCCCCAGAGCACTGCAAATTTCTCTAAATACATAAACTTGAAAGGTAAGTATAATCTATCAATTAAAACAATGCTAAGATAAGTAAACTTATCTTAAAAGAAAGGTGATATAATTTACATATAATGATTCAAAAACAAACATTAGGCTTGAATTAGTCCAGGTTCTATAACTGGACCCAGAGAAATGTCTTGTCACAAGTTCTGATAGAAAAATCTATGTAACCACCACAGTGTGGTCAGCCACCTAAAATTTTTTGTTTTGTTCACCAGAAAACTGCTAGTATCTACTTTTTGGTTACTCTCTGTAAAATCCTAAAGGTATATTTAGATTCCTTGACTAAAAATTTATAAGGGTATCAAATTCCA